GCCAGGGCCGCGGGCAGCGCGGAGCCCGGGGCTCTGCCGCCCGCTCCTCCGGCTCCGCCCTCCGCACAGCCCGGACCGATCGCCCGGCCTCCCCCCGCCGGAGCAGAAAGTCCCCTTTCCCACGCCGTTCTCCCCAGTGTCCCTTTCCAAGCACCTGTCACCCACCTCCAAGGACCGTGCCCAGAAAGATGCACTTCTTCTTGTGACGCTTCAGAAAATTCCACATAGATCTCAGCATTTTCGGGCGCCGGGGGGTGCGGGCTGCCTCGGACGAGAGCCCGGTTCACCAGGTCACCGTTTCTCTGTCGCATGGGCCGGACGACCCGGCAGGAGCGCCTCCGTCCCGCTCGGTGCTCCGCCCGAACGCCACTCGTCGCCGCCTTTCCGCAGCCACTGTCACCGCGGGAAGGGGGCGTGGACTACGGCGGAGCAGCTGCGCTTTCGGGGCCGGCCGCCGCGCCGCCGCCGCCGCCGCTCACTGGTCCGGAGCGCCCGAGGTCCGCCCAGAAATCGCTCCCCGGTGTCCCGTCGCTCGACTCCCCCGGAAACGACGGCCCGCCCGCGTGGCGTTCCGCAGCGCGCGCTGTTCTTCCGTCCGGGCCTGGGGGACGCGGCATGGAGGCGAAGGCGGCGGCCTCGGCGGCCGTGAGCGGCTCGCGCGGGGTGACGGCAGAGGAGACTGCAAAGTGGATGGAAGAGGCCATGCGCATGGTGAGCAGCCCGGGAGCGGGAGGCCGAGGGAGGAAGCTGTCCGGCCCCCAGCCCAGCCGGGTTTTGCGCGAACGTCCGGGGCGCGCCTTCCCGTTCCAGCGTCGGTGGAGGGGAAGCAGGGCTGGCTTTCCCCTCGCCGCCTTTTCTGACCCCGCTCCCGCGGCGACCCGGGGCCCGGGGAGGCGGGCAGATCGAGACGCGCCTGCGAGGTCGCTGGACCGGGGCCCGTGCGTCCCGTCCGCCGCTCGCCCGCCGCGTGCGCGCCCCTTCCCCTGCGCCGGCCCTCGGCCCAGGTCGCGTTGCCCCGCGTGTTCGGCTGTCTGGATTACATCTCTAGGCTAGAAGGAAGCTGGAGTTGCCTCTGGTAGACGGCAGGGGGAACGCGCGCGCCTGTGCAGCCCAGGCCGGCCGCCCGTCCTTTCGTAGTTCAGTCCTCGTGCTCCTTGCCTCGCCCCTTCGCGGTGGCCGAGGACGGCGCGCTTTCGTCACCCACGCCGGTGTGCAGCCTCGCCCGTGCTGGTGGGAGCCGCTGGGCTGCTTCGTTGGGATGGAGTCTGTATGGCATACACGGGATGCACACGGCGCCCCCCTAGGGGACCTCATCATCGTGGGAACAGCACGGAGGCCTTCCACAAAGCCAGGTGGTACCCAGAGGACACCATTCCTAGGCACGACGGACAGCCTGTTCCTGTAATGGTACTGCGTGCCGCTGTCACGCAGTGCTTGGCATTTGTGTATCTAAGTGTAGAACACACAAAGTACAAAGGTGAGGATAAAAGATTTGTGTTTGTTTAAATGGCCCTTCGGAGAGGGCACTTGCTGTGAAAAGAGCCTGCAGGTCCGGAAGTCGGTGAGTGATGTGAAGGCCAAGGGCACTGAGGAACCTGCTCAGTAGACTTGTAAACACTGGACTCTTAGGCTACACTGTAGAAAAAAAGTTTTCTTAAGTAAGTTAACATTAGCTTATGGTAACTTTTATCTTCTTTTTATTTTAAAAGTTTCTTTGTAATAAAGCTGAGACACAAAAACGCGCATGGGATAGGCCTATGTAGGGCCATGGTCATCAGTCTCACCATCTTCCACCTCCACATCTCATCCCACAGGAAGGTTCCAGGGAGCCATAACATTCATAGAGCTGTCATTGCCTACCGTAGAAGTCCTTCCTGAAGGACCCACCTGAGGTTGTTTTAGAGTTATCTTTCTCCTTCCCTCCTTTCCCTCTCTCTCTCTCTCCATATATATATATATAGAATAAAGTGCATAGTATAGTAAATATATAAATCAGAATATAGTAACTTATTACCAAGTTTTATGTAATATACAGAATTGTATTCCTGTGTGTCTTGGTTACTTTTCTTTCGTTGCTGGGACAAAATACTTGACGCCCAAAATTAAGGAAGGAAAGGTTTATTTCGCTTACAGTTTGTGGAGGTTTCAGTCCATACTTGGCAGGTTACAAGGCAGAGTGGCACGTGGCAGAGGGCTACAGCTCATGGCGGCAGAACACAGCAAAAGCAACAAGCACTAAAGCGAGGAATGGCGGCAAGCAGCCTCTTCCTCTCCTTTACATAAACACCAAGACGCAGGGACCGCCAATTGGAATTTAGGACGAGCCTTTATTCCTGGCCAGGGACTGACTGAGAGCCTCCACGCAGGGAAGGATCAGACCAGTGCCGATCCAGGGATGAGAGCGGTTTTTATACCCTAAAACCACACCCTGTTTGGTAAACACATGTCACGTCTGTAACAATGAGGGGACTTAGGAACAGTACATTCCAAGAATCCAGGAGGGGTAGAGAATTTAGGGGAAGAACAATACATTTTGGGAGTCCAGGAAGGGCAGGGCGTTTACAACCAGTTTACAACCACACATTCCAGAAATGGTAAACATGAAGATCTAACCCCACGGCAGGGGTGGGAACTGGGGATTAAACTAAAGCCTTTGATGTCTGAGGTGGGGCTTTTACATTTATACATCATATAACTGCATATGAAGGTACATGTATGCATTTGTATACAGATAAATGCATATTCATATATAGACATTCCTTGTTTAACTTCCTGCTACTAAATCATTAGGGCTAGGGATATAGCTGAGCTGCACAAGTGCCTGCCTGGCAAATGCAAGGTCCTGAGTTCTATTCCCAGTACCAAAGAAAAAAATGGGCCAGGGATATAGCTCAGTGGCACAGTGCCTGCCCCGCAAGCATGAGGTCATGGGTTTGATTCCTGGTACCAAAAAAAAAGTCATTAAATGCATTGATTGTAAATGAGGAATTGTATGTAGTATGTACGTTACAATATTCAGAACAAAGAAATATTCAAAGGAAACTCTAACTTGATGACTTTGCTTTTATTTGTCTAACTCTTTGTATGCAGTCATTAACCAGGTAGATTGTTAAACAAGGAATATCTGTACACATACATTTACATACATATACAATATATGGATTTTTATACATACACTTTTTCATTTCTCTGATATTACTATAAAAAAGATTTTTGTCATACATATTTTAAATTATGCCCTTCTATTCTTAATGACCTCTGGTCCCTTATAGTTAACTAATTCCATAATTTTTCATTCATTACCCAAGTGTTTATTGAATACACCATGCTTGGCTTTGGGGCTTCATTACTGAGAATAATTTTGTTTTGTTCTTCTCTATTCCCTTCTTAGTAAAATAACTGCTCACATCATTTGCCCTGCATTTATTCAGTATTACAGTGAAATGCTTTTCAGTTTCTTGTAAGCTGCGATGCATTACAGCATGTATCATAGTTCCTTTTACTTATATAGTATTCTTTTAAACTTGTTTCTCATACTGTTAAACAAGTGTCCTACAGTAAAAACAAAACTATTTCACATTCCAACTCAGAAAAAAAGTATAGATATAATCTAAACAAAAGTTTTACTGTGAAGTACTTATCCTTCCTATGAACAGTTTCCTAGTATTTTTATTTCACTGTGTTTTTGAAAACACTAGTTGTGACCTATTAACTTGATACCATGCATGCATGACTCATTTCTTTTTTATTTTTCCTCCTATTTTTTTTATTAGTACATGTTTATAGTACATAATGATCCCAATCCTCATGTGTGGGGAGTTGGTACATGTACATAACACATTTTATTCTTCTATTTTTATAATCCCTTTCTCCTCTCCCTCTATCTCCCCTCCACCTCCTGGAGCATGACCTATTCTTCAAGCTTATTTCCAACTTTATTTGTTTCATGAAATTTATAGGATGTATAGTCTTCTACTTAATACTTAAACAAATTAGTATACACATATGCATTTCAGAACTTGTAATCTTAATGGATTTGTTTATCTTGAATTCCTTTTATATTATTAAATCCTGCAAGTTGAAGACACAGAGCTTTCAAAATTAAAATTTACTCTTCTTCTCTGTCCTGTATAAGTAAGCTTTCTGTTACTATAATAAAATACCTGAGATAATTAACTCACAAAGAGAAAAGGTTTATTTGGGTTTACAGTTGTGGAGGATCCAGTCTATAATCAGTTGATCTGGACCTGTGGTGTGACAGCACATCATAGTGAGAGTGTGTGATAGAGCAAAATGCTTATGAGCTAAGGAGCACAAGGGGAAGAGAGAGAGACCAGGGTCCCACAGTGCCCTTCCAGGGCAAGCTCCAGTAACCTAAGGACCTCCTGCTAAAGCTTCTACCACCTCACAGTAAGTTGTGCCACCATGGGACTCAAGCCTTTAACACCTGAGCCTTTGGGGACACTTATCCAAATTATTTGTGGAGACACTCCCACAAATTATTTCACTGGCCTCATGCACTAGGCAGCTTCTTAATCACCAGGATGAAAAATAATAGATTAATGAAACTTAAATACCATATTATATCATATCATGTGTTAATCAGCTTTCTGTCACTATAAAAATACCTGCAATAATTTATGAAGAGAAAAGATTTATTTTGGCCCACAGAGGTTCCAGTTCTTGACCAAGAGGACCCATTACTCTTAGGCGTCTAGTGGAGCTCCCTAATGCCAGTGGCAGGGAGCGTGCGGCTTACTAAAACTTGTGACCAGGAAGTAAGAGAATGAGGAGGAGGCAGGTGGAGAAGGGTGTCCCACAGTGACCTAAAGTGACAAGACCATCCCCCAGATCCTCCTCTGAAAGGTTTTACTCCCAGCTGTGCCATCCTGGGACCAGGCCTTTTGGCACATGAGCTTTGGAGCATCTGAGATCCACACTGCAGCATAGAGGAAGCTGCATTTGCATCTTCCTGTGGGTGAGAGAGATTTAGGGGGCAGATGATATCGGACGCTGGAAAGTCAGAATTTTGATTTCTTTTGTTTTCATTCAAAATTTCTTCAATTTTCTCAAAGTGTTCACATATGGAACTTGCTTAGATAAAATTTTTAGAGGTACTACCATGGAGGTCTTGTGGTCTCAAAAGTAGGCAAGTCATTCATTTACATTTTGAATCATGTTTTTTCTCTCTTTCAATAGGTTTTAATTTTCTTTAAGCATGTTGAAATCCTCCTATTTTAAAGCATTTCATCCACCTACTTCTGCACTCTATTTAGATTTAGAGACTAAACCCTTAAGTCCTTTAATGATTTGGTGTGAATAACTTAAATCACTCCACAGTTCCCTTTCTGTTCTATCAAATGAGATGGTTGAAGTCCAACGAATTTGTAAGAAACTCTGGCCTTTTGTCTCTTAATTGAAGTATAAACACGTAGGAGCATGATTACACAGTTTACCTCCTGAGTAGGATTAAGGAGGCCCTTAGTGGCTGCCTTTTTGGTTTTGGCCTATGCATGTTTCTTTCAGGCTTTAAAGGAAGGAAAAGTTCTTGCTACAACTTGTGTACTTGGTTCCCCAAAGAAACTTAAATCTTAAATTTGAAGAATTACTTCTGACAAGAGTTTAAGATTAGACGAGGGGTACACCTAGTGTCAGATCTTGAGGCAGCAAGTCAGTCTTTAATTAATTTGTACTGAGAGTTTGTTTGTTTT